GGTGTTGGCCAAGCTCTTCCCCAGCCCTCTTTGCACTTTATTCCCTGGCTTTGTGGCCAAGAACACTAACACCACAGAGACAGGTTAGGCCAAGGCAGAAGAGACAGCAAGAGAGAAAATGACGCTGAAAGCTGTTTGTCTCAGAAGGCAGGTGGCTCTCCTTGGTCGGCCAATGAAGAGGAAGGAGGTCAAGAAGGAAAGCAGAAGTGATGCAAGGAGGATGTAAGAGAGATCTCGATTGTTGGCTTTGACAATCGGAGTGTCTTGGAATTTAATGAAGATTCCCAGGACAAAGCCTGTGATTAATGAGAGGGACAAGGCAAGGGAGGCCAGGATGATCCCCAGATTTTCTTGATAGGATAGGAAGCTGAAAATCTTGTGTATACAATGATCTTGATAGATGTTTGGATATTGATCTTCTGGACATTTGTTACATTTTTCTGCATCTGAAAAAAGCAAGAGTATGATTTCTCATAAAGCATATGGGAAATGAGATTAGCTCCATCCCTCTTAACATTCCCAAAGTCCCTCAAGACATGGCTATGTGATCAGGTCTGGGGTTCCCAGGGGACCAGGGAAATTTTACAATGGCTCCCTTATTAATTTTATCCACTCCTTGTGGGGATAAACCCTCCTTGTGGGTTTTTACTGTTTTTTTATACGCAGTTGTTTTTATGTATTTTTTAAATTGTTGTATGCCACTCAGAGTCATCTTGTGTGAGATGGGCAGCTATATAAATCTGATAAATAAAGAAATAAACTAACTAACTAACTTTAAAGAATATTTTATGCATCATGAAATTGGGGTGGAGCAAATGACTGCTTGTGAAGGAAATCAGTCTGCAGTAAGAAGGAGGACCCTAAGAGTTGGGGCCTGGCCTCCACTGTTCACATAGAGGCTGGGCTGCTATGTTGAGGATACTTTCATGTGGATTCCTGAAATGAGCAGTGAAGGAGAATTTTAGGGGCAAGGTAAAAGCCCCTCACCAAAGACATCTTCCCAGGGAAAACAAGGCACTGGCTGAGTTGTATACTCAGACCACCACCATCCCACCTCCGCAAATGGACTTTCCCAAGGAAACCCAATCTCTCAGCTCAGCCATAAAAGCTTTAGAAGATGAAGGAATGCTGAGAGGTTGGAAAAGATCCCAGGAGGTGAACCCAGCATCTGGAACCAGGGGACAGTTTGATAAACCCCATAACAGTAACTCTTTAGAAAGAAACTGTCATCATGAAACCATGCCTCTTTATTCCTTCACCCATTCATTGTCTTTCTAATCTTGCCCCAATACCTCCTAATTATACCCTCAGAGCCTCGCTAACCTTACTAGGCACATGGCATGTTAAATCCAATCACATGTACTGCACAACTTCATTTATTAACTCTACAAAGGGAGACTCCATAACTTCTCCCTTCTTTAGATTTATCTT